CCAACGTCCCACAGAAGAAAATACAGAAGAAGATTTAGACACCTGGGTGTGCCATCTTCTTCTCTGTATCTTTCCGATTTTCCAAGGGATGCCCTGCAGGACAGGACATCATTTCTGCGGTGCCACCGAAAGCGCGACGAACCCACCTGTTGACTCGATCCAGGAAGAGACGGGTGTGTATGATGGATGGCCGACGATTCGCACCATTCCCAAAAGTCTGCGAAAGATACTTGGGTGGGTTCAAGTAAAGCCATAAATGCAGCGAATCTTCAACAACAAGATCAACAGCATCACGCCTGGAACATAGTATATATATTCAGCGCTGTAGGAAACCTCCCCATGCACATTTAAATTTTTAAAATTTTAAACCCACCATTACGAAAGCGAGATGCACCAGTTTTCTTTAACAGATGGACCGGGCTTCAAATGTATGGGCTTGCCTGCCCGGTCAGGTTCATTCATGATGGAAAAAGTTAGGAACCTGTCAGAGGCCTGTGGACTTTCACTAAACACTCGCAGTCAGACCGGGCTTCGGATGTATGGGGCTGCCTTCCCGGTCAAGTTCATTCATGATGGAAAAAGTTAAGAACCTGTCAGAAGCCTGTGGACTTTCACTAAACACTCACAGTCAATCCTCTGATGTCGTCAGTGCAATCAATGCTGCAGACTGCAGTGTTATTTCCACGTGTATTGTACAAATCGTAACAAATGTATTTTGGGATGCTGGGGCGGATTCGGTCCGGGCGGGGGATGCTGGGGCCGATTCCGTCCGAGCTGATGTTGCGTTGCTCCCAATGAACAGATCCCATCCATTCCCTAGGTGTGTCGTGCACCGCCCAGGGGGTACTTTGGGGGCTGGATTTACACCGGGAAGTGTTTTTTTTTTTTGTTTTTTTTTGTTTTTTTTTGTTTTTTTAACGATGTTTTCTTTTCTAAAGGATGCTGTGTACTTGTGGTTACAGGACAGCAGGGGCCATGTCCCACTTCTCGAGGTTTTGTGCTGGTTTCAAGTGTACATGGCTCCTTGCCATCCGATCTGAAAATCTCACGGCCCTAGTGTGACAATGTTGGAAAATAGACGAAACATAAACTAAGCCCCCGCTAGTCGGTCATGACCCCAGGTCAGCGTATTTAGCCACGTGCAGAGAGGTTCATCCCTTATTTTTCTGTTTGAAAACTTGGCCCTGACGATCCTGACACTTCCAGAGTTATAGAACTGTAGCTGTTAGTAGACTGGTCATGAGTTCGAGATCTGCTGGATGCGAACAGATTTCAATATAATATGATGTTAAGGGCCAATCTCGTGGCGCTCCCCCCCCCCCCGAAAAAAAAGGAAAGGGGTAACTACGGTGCAGTCATGTTTTCAGTTCTAAATCCACTTCAGGAATCCCTCAAATACAACACATCCCCACCCAACCCTAAGGCTGGGTTGGATACATTCACGATTTTCCTCGCTTTGGAGTAAAATTCGCGAAACGGTCCCTTAAACACATTCAAAACTGAGAACCTTGACTGCGCCCTAGTTTGCCCAAAAGGAAAAAAACTGCATTGACTGTTTGCTGCACAGGGGCATAGTTCCATTAGCCAGCTGGAGCGGTCGGCCTTTCATGGATGTGTAAGGCCTGGACCCCACAGGAAAAGTGTTGGAACAGTGTCGATTTTCGGGTTCTGTGGAAGGGTGTCTGGAAGAGTTTGCCTGCGGAAGGATGGGACCCCACCGGAGAGGCTGAAAAAGTCAGTTTTTTAAAGGCTGGAAACTGGAGATGGACCGGATGGCGGTCGCTGATGTCCGTTGGAAGGGGTTTTGTTCTTTTTTTTTTTTTTTTTTTTTTTTTTTCCCCCTTAAAAAGTCCATGGTGTTGTAGAGGCCAGTCACTGAGTGCACAGTGATCACCTGGAGCAGTAGGCCGTGGGTGTCCTGGAATATAAGAGCACCTCCCATCCCATCCTCACGTCAATACTCCTAGCGCACCCCCTATCCCACTATCCTACCTCTGTGTGACCAGCACTCAGGACCATTAACCTATCGGTTGTCTGCTCGTAGGCGGGGAGTGACAATGTGCGACAGGTGCGCAATTGCTGTTCCTTCGCCCTGGCCATTGAACCAGGGATTGGCTCGGCACTATGGATGGACCAGCGGGTCGGCGACGAGTTTCCAACAAAGGGCATGCGCACCCCCCCTACTCTATGGGAAGGGCACAAAAGTCCGGCAGAAACTCCTCCCGTGGCACTTTTCCGACCGGAAACCAATGTGAAAACACCACATCTCGGATTTCCAGCTACCGTTTTCCAGGCGGTGGGGTCCCGGAAAACCTCCCTGCCCTCCTAAAATCGGCTTTCCGGAGGGCCTGATTTGTCCAGTGGAATAAGAGAAAAACTTTTCCACACCGGTTTTTCATGATTTTTCCTTGTGGGGTCCAGGCCTAATAAAACCACCAGTTTACACGAACCGGCCGGCAGCCTTTCATGGATGTTTAATAAAACCACCAGTCTACATGAGCCGGCGTCCAGCCCTGCCCAGCCTGAAACATCACCTCTACTGAGTCACGCCAACCTACTTTGATTGAAATATTTTTCAATGAGCCAGACAGTTTTTTTTTTTTTTGCGAGTTTTTTCCCTGGATGAGGAGTAACCTTGAGCAATGTCCTTGATTGTTTCGAGAATTTTTTGACGTCTGAAATTAGAATAAAAAATAGCCAAATTCGGGGTACTCGAAATTTTGCGAACACACCCGCTACCCCCCCTTGGGTCCGGTAGGCCAAAGACATATACTCTTACCGCGTGTACGGGTAAGAGGCCGACTTAGCTTCAGGAGGGCTGGTGGTTTAAACCACCAGTACTTGGCCCAGCTACCGGCCGTGGGAAAAAAAAATAGAGTAGAAACGTTTCTAGTCGGATGAATTTGGGCCCTCCTGTAGTGGCCTGTACTTTACCTGAAATCATGGCTCGTTTACGGGCACAACCTTAGGAAGTACAGGTGGCTTAAGAAAGCTACCTTTGAAGGCTCGTGAGCCTCCAACTGTTTTTTCTCCATAGTGGCCTTCCGCATTCACTGCCGACCCAGGCCCCAAGCTTCTTGGCCTTGCTGCATAAACCAGTAAGAGGTCAACTTAGCTGTGGGTGAACTGGTGTTTTAAACCATTAGTTCAAATGAGCCTAAGTTGACGATGCTACCTTCCAAAGCTTGCGAGCCTCCGACTGTCTTTTTTCGCAGTGGTCTTCCATGTTTTTTTTATTCTTTTTTTTTTTTTCCTTTCCCCTCAAAGCCCAGGGTGTTGTAGAGGCCAAGGACTAGACTCCCTACGGTGATCGCTGGCAGCGGCAGCCGATGGTTGTCCTGACAGGATAGGCCACCTTCCCTACCCTTCCCGACGTTAATACTCTCAGCGCACCCACTATCCCTACTATCCTACCACAGTGTGACCAGCACGCAGGACCATCACTCTACCATTGTCGAGGGCAACTTGGACCGGACAGCAGTGACAAGCACCAAGGCTGTGCAACCCCCCAGTCCTAGTGGAAGCGGACATGGACGAACCTTGCTGTATGGGAACTTCAGACGCCACACTCATGCAATCGTCTACAGGCCCGATATCAGAGTCTACCCAGCAGGAATACCTAGGCAAGGCAAGGTGGCACCCACGGACACATCCCACCGTCCTTCCCCTAACTTACCCAAGGCTAGGAGGAACTCAAACTAGCCGGAGCGACTTATATCCCTACCCTACCCTAGAGTCTAAGCTGTGGATGAGCTACCCTTTCATGTACCTGATAGACCCCCCCAGCCCGGTATTATAGTTGTATGTATATGTGTGCCCAGAGGCTATGTATGTATGAGCCTGTAGGTCGTGTGAATGTTCACACACCATGTTTTTTGTGTATGCCCGGAGGCTACGTATGCTCTGTGTAGCTGTATAGCAGGATGTACGTGCCCGAAAGCCAAATATATGCAGTACTATGTAGAGGGAACTATGTGTTCGTTTGAAGAGATGACAGGCCAAGCTGGACAAGATCCCCCCCAAAGTCCCAAGCCAGACTCGACCCGGTGATCTATGACATATGACTGGAAGACTCTACCATATGAGCAGCAATCGCAAACGGCACCTATGTGTGATATGCCAGACTGGGGAGATCAACAGAACAACCACGACCAACAGCGACAAGCAACCCACACAGCATTGAGACCCGACATACAACACCGTGGACAACCCTTGGGTGGTCTGCAAGCAGTGTCGGTAATAGCTTACCTTCGTCAGCCCAAGGGGGTATGCAAGTGACCGTGCGTTATGTAAGCGCCCTCCAGTGTCTCTGCGCGAAGGTGTGGAGTTTTGAACCCACACCCTCAGACTGCAACGTGCATTGACAACCAGTCCCATAACTGCTGAGACATGTAGTTTCCACCAGGTGCAGCAATAGATGGCCCCTTCAATGTAAGGAACCATTTACGGAGGATGGTCTTATGACCTCACTAAGTGGGACACTACACCGGAGTTAAATGGCAAAAAAAGAAAAGGAGAAGGGTGACCGTTAGCAGAGGGCGCTCAATCTCTTATTCAAGCAGAGTGTGTTCTGTCCCAATCTGACTTGCATATGCTAAGTACTACCATGCTTGTCCTTGTTCTGTTTTGGTCTTCCTCCCCCTCCTCTCCTTCCTTTGTCCTCCTCTTCTTTCTCCACCTTCTCATCCTTCCCCTTGTTCTTTTGTCCCCTTCCTCCTCTTCTTTCTCGTCCTCTTCTTTCCCCTCCTCTTTTTCCTCCTCCTCCTCGCCCTCCTCCTCCACCTACCTCTCCTCCTTTTCTTCCCCTCCTCCTCCTCCTCTCCCTCCCCCTCTTCCACTTCCCTCCCCTCCTCTCCTCCTCCCTTCCACCGCCCCCTTCTCCTCCATCCTTCCTCCTCTTCCTCCCCCTCCTCCTCTTTTTCCTCCTGCCTCCTCCTCTTTTTCCTCCTTCTCCTCCTCCTCCTCCTCTTCCTCCTCTGTTTTTTTTTGGTGACAAACAGTGCATACACTATGGACGTATACATAGGTAGTCCTCCTCAGCGCCGCTCATTGATTGTTGACACGGGCGCTTCACTGATGTGGACATTCTGCAGCGCATCTCAGAACCTTTCAGCTGAAATGCCGGTACGACATCACACTTCTAGTCCCCTCGGAACATCATTGCAACCCATTTATCTCGAAATGGGAAACGAAAAAATGGAAGTCGTCTGTCCTATGATCACATCATCCACTGTTTGTTTTCTGAGTCCATTTTACATGCTGTTTGGGATTTGAGATCATTTGACACTTTGGCGGTGATTTCTGCTCTCATGTTCTTCAATGACAGGATCTGAGCCCCACCAATAGATGGAGCCTCCCCAGGAGTGCCAGCAGTGCCTGCTCTTACCAGCACCCCTAGCATCAGCCCGGGCTGTAAAAAAAAAATTAGAACCCCCCCCTCCCCTCCCCCCAAAAGATCTGAGAAAATCATCCACAGAGGGTACATCCTGCTGTATTGCGGACAAATCTTGAAGGCAGGGGGGGGCCAGGGGGAGGGAGGCAGAGGGCGGAGTTTTACCTGTGATTCTGTGAAAGAAAAAATTATAGCGGAAATGCGGGATACTGTGATACGGCTCTAAAATTATTGATAAATACATAATAAAAAGACTTCAAAGCTCAAATCTCAAACCTGGGGAGGCTCCATCCCCAGGGTTGAGGGAAAACACAGGCCGAGCAGCAAAGACATTCCACAGCCTTCCAGGCCTTTCGGAAAATGCAGGCCCTGGGCGAGAATCGCAGCCCCATACACAGACAGTTGGGAGGCCCAACTGAACGAGGCCCAGTGGCTGCAACACAGGCGCAGCCTCCTGGGGCCTACCGGAAGCTTCTGGGCCGAGGCCCAGGCCAGCCAGTTCCCACCCTGAACGAGGCCCAGTGGCTGCAAATTTTTTATTTTATTTTGTTCCCACACATACGCAAGGCCCATTTATTCTTGGGGGAGGGCAACAGTTTCACTTTGACGAGGCCCATTTATAATGAACGGGGATGTTTTCTTTGGAAGTGCATGCATCCCAAACATGGTTGTCGTACCTGTAGAGGGAGGGGATGGAGCCTCCCCAGGGTTGAGTCCAGGAGAGGAAAGGAGGCTGCGGAGAGAAGCTAGGGAGAGGGCGGCATTGTGGAGGGTTAGGGACGCTGAGGCCAGCGCCAGGGCTAGGAGTATAGCTAGCACATGCGACTATGGCTACCTCCTCTACCATGTCACAGGCCTCTTCTGAGGCGTCATTGTCAGGAATCAGTCAAAGTGTATCTCAGGTTTCCGTTAGCCAGACTGTTGGCTTGCAAGTCGACCAACAAACTCAACTCACACCGGGGGATTATGAGATCCTCCAAGCAGAAGAGTTGCATGACGAGCTGCAACGACAGTTGAGAGAGGCAGCAGAGAGAAGGCAGAGGGCAATCACAAGAAAAGCTAGACTAGGAGCTAGGAGGCAGGAGTTAAGGAACTTAGAGGCACTAGACGAGTCAACACATGACCTTGCGTTGCAAGCGCTGCGTCGCTCACTCTTGTGTGCGGTGGAAACACAGGTTGTCCAGCAGGAAGTGCTGGCCAAACTAGAGGAAGGCCAGAATTGAATTTCGACTGCACTGCAGGCTCCTCGTCCTATGACGAGACAGCCTTAGTATGCTGTAGCTCCCCCTTCGGTTGCGGGTCCTTTAGTGACGCCGTCGCCGGGAGGGCCCTCTTTCTCTCCTATGTTTGGCACACCTCTCACAAGTAGTCAGTGGTCCGGTTCTTGTCTCTTCTTCTGTACCATCGAGGACGGTGGCAGCTACAGTGCCATCGTAAGGACAGGCTTAGGCTAGCACGCAGCAACCTATGTGAGTGGCTATGCAACCACTGCAACAATCACCTGGGCAGATCCAACCCATGCAGTGGATGCCCAATATACCCTTGCTGAGTCCTAACCCCTTTTCTGGTGACAGGAAGAAGGACGAGGAACTGGATACATGGGTGAGGATTGTGCCTACCTATGTGAGGCACATACTCACAACGCCAGAACAAGAAGTCATACTTGCTGCCTCCTTTTTAGAAGGATCGGCAGTGCGTTGGTTGAACGAGTTAGTGCAGCAATAGGGCTATGGTCATAACTTTGATGCCCGGACTCAGACCCAGACATTGGAAGAGTTCGTACGAACTGTGTAAACCAGGTGGCATGACCCTCAAGGGGCTTAAAAGGCCATGATACGATCAACAATCTTTGTGCCAAAAGGTACAAGAATGTACACGAGGTCACAAACGTCGTAGAACGTCTGATTGCAGTACCTGGTGTGACTTCGATCCGCAGGTGCTCCTCACAAATTATTGAAGATGTCTGCCCACAGATGTCAAGAATAAGCTGGTGGACGAGGCCTACTTTGACCAACATAACTTCGCCTCCTTCAGCAAGAAAGCCTTAGAATGGAGGCAAAGCTTGGGTCCGCTCATCAGAGTCAGGGAGATGGCAGGAGGAAGAAACTGCCCCAAGACTGGAAGAAGAAGGGTCAACTAATGTTTATCGACCATGATGGTCAGACGATTGAATTGACGACTTCTCAGACCTTGGGGATGAGACAAAGCATGATGGGACCAGCGTTCGGATGGGGGAGTTGTGGCACCTATCAAAGAGAAAGTTAGGGGGACCGGGAAGCAGAAGAAGGTAGGCCGGTCCAAGGGTCAGGTCGACCAAGGAACACCCGCATGGGTAAAACTTGGTTTAGATTACGAGGTGTGGAGGGACCGAGTTGCCAGGGGCACATGCATGAACTGTGGCAACTATGGCCACATGTCCAGAACTTGTTGAGGCAAGAAGGTCACGATGAGGGTAGCCGCTTCAACGGTAGTGGGCTTATCCTCGAACTCTGGCAGTGCTTCTGTGAGCACTTCGTAGGGAAGCGCCTCAGGCCAGTAAGAGTGTTAGCCGTTCTTACTCGCGCTGAAGTGGTAACGTTGCCTTCCCCACTTCAGGCGTTGGCCAAGGCTTGTGACCCATACATCACCCCGCAGACACATTCAGACCCACCGACGCTCTGTTCGAGAGATGTGTCTGAGTCCCTAGAGGAGTTACAGTCTGAGTGGTCAGGGAAGGACCCCAAAAACTTTTGGGCAATGATCAATAGAGGTCCTAAAGGTGAACATTTTGTGGTAGAGGTTGATGTAGGTGGCCGCAAAGTGGGTGCCTTCGCAGACATAGGCTCTACACAAAATTTCATTAGTCGTGCTTGTGTGGATAGACTGCGCTTAGGGGACCAAGTGCAGCGGCTTAGCAGAACTGTAGCTTCTACGCTAGCCAACAAGCACCAAATGGTAGTCAAGGACTATGTCAAGGACGTAGTCTGTACCTTCTCCTATGGAGAAGGGGAAGTGAGACATAAAATCTCAATCCTAGTGAGCGATGAACTGCCTTTCGACATGTTACTAGGTATGTACTACCTCGAGGTCGCTCAACCTCAATTCGATTGGGATAGAAAGGTGTTGATCTACAAGTTGCCCAATGGTAGAACCGTTAGACTGCTGAAGTTTAAAGCTAGCAATCTAGCGGAAAACTACGGGTGCATGTGCACAACATCCTTCTATAACTACTATAAGCAAAACAACAAGGTGGGCATGTATCTAGTCTTTGTCTCTGAGAAAGGGGAGGGCGTAAAATCACCCCTAGAGATAGAATCAGTCGTCGCACAATATTCCGACCTTTTTGAGGAGCCCACAGGCGTGGTTGAAAGGGAGGTAGTCCATGCAATAGAGGTTGTCCGGGGGAGTAAGGTGCCTAGAGGACGAATCTATACGATGCCAATTATTCCAGAAATCTCCAATCTAACGCTCTATTGGGATGAAGCACGCTTTATTGATGACATTCGTCAACATGATCCCCAAGCTGCTCAGGGATACACCTTCACTTACCGCCTCATTGATGATGTTCTTTCATGGGGGCAATTACCTCCTCCTTCAGAGCACTATGGGCTTGAGTGGAAGGAAACTACGTCTACAGATGGCTCGTGTACCTTTTTAGGTATGCATCTACAGGTACGTTCTGATGGTTCGCTTCGCATGAGCGTGTTTGATAAAGCGGATGCTTGGGATTTCCCTGTTATTCGCTATCCAAGTGCTACCTCCAACATCCCTTCCCATCAACCGGCAGGTGTGTTCACTGGGCAATTGACCAGATTTGAACGCATCTGGAATAATTGGCAGGACTTCCGAACTGCAGCGACAACACTCACTCGTCGCATGCTTTCTCGTGGCCATTCCCCACCAACCCTCGCTAAAGGATGGACCTGCTACACAC